TAGAGGATCATTGTTTCGACTCCGGCACCGGCCTGGACAGCCGTAGCTCGAGCTGGCGGGGCGGTCCAACCCAGCCGATCATGGGGAGGTTAACGTGAGAGTAAACATCATTCTGGGCGGTGATCCGATCCGCAGCGTGTGGGCGCCTTGTGCGGATAAAGGCGAAAAGCTTAGGTGCCCCACCCGGAGAGAAATTTCTGCTGGTAAGAACTAGACAGTGTGTAGACCATTGCAGGGGTTTCTGTACTCCCAACCTTAGGAACCCACTCTCTGACGGTTGGAGCGGCCAGCTATTAATCCACCAAAGCGTCAGGTCAGTAATGGTATAGTTGGATGTTAGGCATAAGTTTTATTACGAGTGATTTACAGAGTTCCAATAGCACCAATAGAATATTTGTTAAGAATTGATTACTAGTTCTGACGAAAAGCGAATATGTAGAATGCGATGTGAATAAAGTCATCAAACACATAAGAACATCACGGCGGATAAAATACCGTAAATTTTTGATGAGTCCACATCATTATTTTATCACGGGGTACTTAAACTCGCAATGAGCTAAATTTTAATTAATGCAGTGTAAGCTACATTCTTAGAATGAAGTTATAAGCGTTTTTAATTGCATTCTAGCTGCATACATAAAATTCATTGTTCCAGCGAACTTTCTACTATGACGGAATGATAAAACAAAAGGGGATATAAACGACTGAAGCAAAGATTACCCAACGTTTGTGTAATAAATCGTGAATACCATTTCATTCATAGTTAACCTCGACCACACCTCCCCCCATTGATTTGACGTCAAACCGAGAATTAAAAAAATCCACATGGACTGACGTTGAGTTAAAATGACATCTAAATCACTTCCAAGGTGAATTACCGACTACGGAGGTATCAAAAACCGCTCGGCTGCAAGGACAATACCTATCTTGGAGTTAAACGATAATTACATTCTGACGTTAATCAGTCTGTTTCCGATGTCAATCCAATCGGGAGTTGAACCTCACTGTCGTGACGTGTAAGCTCTCGATGAGAGACACCGCAAGCAGTGATTTCACGCCAAGAGCAGCTCTCAATAAACCGAAGTACGAATAAGTGCTGGAGTGTCACCTGAGAGCGCGGGCGAGGGCCCCTTGGAGCTGCCGTAGAGGCGCGTGCTGTAGCCCGAGTCGTGTGCAGGTCGCGGCGGCGCGTCCGCGACGCGGGCGATGGGCTGTACACCGCCGGCCGCGACCGGAAGGGGCAGCGCCTGCGCGCGCACACACTCCCGTTCAGCTGGCGCACGGCAAGGAGAGCAGGAGGAAGAGGGACAGGGCGGAAGGTGAATATAAAAGAGTCGGGGATTGCATGCTGATGAACATATGCGTTACACGAGAGTAAGAAAATGAGGCAGGGAGGGGAGGGAGAGGGGGAGGGAGAGGGGGAAATAGAGAATAAACCATTTGAAAAAGGAGGTAGAAGTGAAATAAAACAGGACAGAAAGGTGGAGGAGGGTGGAGAGAGAGGAAGAGGGTGAGAGAGAGAGAGAGGAGGCAGAGGTGTGAGGAGAGAGAGAGGGGGTGAGAGAGAGAGGAGGAGGGTGAGAGAGAGAGAGGGGAGGGTGAGAGAGAGAGGAGGAGGGTGAGAGAGAGGAGGAGGGTGATGAGAGAGAGAGGAGGAGTTGTGAGAGAGAGAGGAGGAGGGTGAGAGAGAAAGAGGAGGGAGAGGAGAGTGAGAGTGGAGAGGGAGGAGGGTGGAGAGAGCAGAGGAGGAGGGTGAGCAGAGAGAGGAGGAGGGTGAGAGAGAGAGGAGGAGGAGGGTGAGAGAGAGGGAGGAGAGGGAGAGGAGGATGAGAGAGAGAGTGAAGAGAGAGGGTGAGAGAGAGAGGAGGGTGAGAGAGAGAGAGGAGCGTTGAGGAGAGAGGACGGGATGAGAGAGAGAGGAGGTGAGAGAGCAGAGAGGAGGGTGAGAGAGAACGAGGAGGGTGAGAGAGAGCGAGGAAGGAGGGTGAGAGAGCAGAGAGGAAGGAGGGTGAGAGAGAGAGGAGGCGGAGTGAAGAGAGGAGGAGGGTGAGAGGAGAGGAGGAGGGTGAAGAGGGAGAGGAGGGTGAGAGAGAGAGGAGAGGAGGGAGAGAGAGGAGTGAGGAGGGTAGAGAGAGAGGTGAGAGAGGGAGGAGGGTGAGAGAAGGAGAGGGTGAGAGAGAGGAGGAGGGTGAGAGAGAGAGGGAGGGTGAGAGAAGGAGGAGGGTGACGAGAGAGGAGGAGGGTGAGAGAGAGGAGGAGGGTGAGAGGAGGGAAAGGGGAACAGTATAGAAGGAAGGGAGAGTATGAAGGGAGGGAGGAAATAGAGAATAATCATTTAAAAAGAAGGTAGAAGTGAATTCAAAACAGGAGAAATCACATTAGAAGGTAAGTAAAGAGACGAAGAAAGTTGAACAGGCAGAAGAAGAGAAGTATTAAGAGAACACAAAAAATCGAAAAAAATGAAGAAAAGAAAGCAAGGAAAAAGAAGAAAACGGAAAAAGAATGATAGCGAGAAAAGAGCAGAGAAAGACAGGAAGAGGATAGAGAGGAGAGGGTGGGGGACATAATGATGGGAAGAGGAGGGAAGGAGAGAGATAGGTGTGAAAGACGGGGGGAGAGAAGAATGATTTGGAGAGAGGAGAGAAAATGGTGGGGGGAAAGGGTAATGAGAAAGAACATATGAAACCAGAGTTGAGGCGATAACTGGCGGTGAAAGTGAAACAGCCAGAGAAACCTACCTGCAGCCGCCGGTCCTCCCCGGTGCCAGGGCGACGTTCTCTAGTCGGACCGCCGCCGCACCGCCGCCGCCCGCGCCGTCGCCGCGTGCCCGTGGCGCCCGGCGCGTCGTCCTCGCCTCGCTGGACTCAGAGCCGTCGTCGTCGCCGCCCCCAGCCGCCCCCGCGACCTCGCCGCCCCCGCGCCGCCACCGCCGCCGCCCGCCGCCACGCCTGCGAACTCAGCTGCGCCGCATCCAATTGCCGTCCACCACCATGCAACGATTCCTCGTTTTGCGTGACGACACTCAGTTGTTAGAGCCTGGCTTCTTCCGCCTCGCCACGCAAATTTCGCTAAGCGCTCTTCACATAGCGGAGAAAGAAGTACATCTCGGGCGACGGAAAAGTCTGCCTCAGATTACTATTTTTAGGCTATGATGGAGCCTTTTAGCAAGCAGTAATCTACAACATTGAGACACCGGCTTGACTTCCCCACCGAGGGAAGGCGTACATATGGATTCTTCGTCCTTAAAAATCCAACGTCTTCGATACGAGTTTGATTCGGGTATAATAGTCCGTTAGCGAAGTGAAGCCGCCTGGACGCTCACGACCCAACTTAGCCTCAAGGGACGGGGTATATTGAATTGGCCCTTACGATTGGACAACTCTACACCAACATTAGTGTTTGGGTAGGTAGCAGGTCTATTGTGGGATCCTACAATTTTCAACCTACCAATTTTCATCAATTAATGATGACCTTTCCGCCCTTCGACATTTTAATTCCAAGCCAGAAGATATATGCAGATTACGTGGGTAATTGTTTCGAAGAAGTAATTTCATATATTAGAAATGTAGCTGGAATAAAGTCGCTTCAGATCTGATTGATTTACGTTACTTATAGTACTCCTAAATTATTATTACCTACATCCTAAATAAACTACCAAATCATAACAACTTTGGTCTGTAATGTTCCGCGAGTGTTGTCAATTATTTGATGCAAACATCCGTTTTATGCGTAAAATACACAATTAGTTACTCTCAATGGACCTAGTTTTTGAATTTTTTGATTGACAGACAGGCACTTAAAATCCACATACAACTTAAGAATTAAGTTTTTTGGAATTTATTTATTTGTAATATTTATTTCAGGCATTCTTTTTAGAATACTCAAAAATGTATTGACCCCGACGTGATTCGACACGCAACCTTCTGATCTGGAGTCAGACGCGCTACCATTGCCGCCACGGAGTCACTGTGACCATCTCAGGAATCATAATAATTAAATTACGTTTAGTCATACTTTAAAATTTAATTTCTCCGCACAACAAAAATTTAAGTAATTTAAATTGTTCGAAATGCTCTTTTTTTAAATTGGAAAATATGTTAGCGTTATCTCTGAATGTATCCCGTCTTAGCAGTCAACATCGTACCATTGTTTATACATTTTTAAATATGACTGTCGTAGAGTTTAATATACGATAGGATATTTGATATAATGTTAGACTAGGTTTACAGTTTTCTTCATTTCTTATGTAAAGAGGACAAGTATCATTTAAAATGGTATCCACGGAAATAAATTTCTTTGAATGTTTTTATTATAAAATAATAAGTCACTTTAGATACCATTAAAAACAATTACAACAAATTGTAATTATAATTTTATCAAATCACAATGTTGTGTAACGGATTAAAAGGGGCTTAATAACATGGAGATGACAGAAAATGCTTGTTAAGCGGTGTATTGCGATGAAAATACGCCTTTACGAACTTTCCATCAATTAAGAACCTACAGTTACGTATGATTATTAATGTTGGTCCATTTTTGGCTTAGAAGTCTGATATCAGTGCAATATCATGGCTTGCCCTTCGGTATCACATCGGTAGTTCATTCGTAAAGTTACATCTGATATGATTAATACGATCAGTTATGAGCTACACACGCCCCTAGGTCTGTGGTTACGAAGTTGGTTCCCTCTATTATCTACCCTTTTAGACTAATTAAAAGTAGACATTACAGAACAGAATTAAATACAAATAAGATGTGGCAGTTGATGATAAAGTTTTATGGAGTGTATTTTGATGGATGATGAATTTGTGTGTGGGTTTTCACGACTATATGAGGTGACTGTTTGTACAGAATAATCAGAATTTGGATCAACCCCAGACTGCAACACGAGGAACACGAGAAATTATCTATATTTAATATTTGAGTAGAGAGAATACTCTAACAATGCGCCGGGACAAGTCCCTCCTCTGTGCCCAGAGTACCAGGGCACTGCCATGGCGAAGAGCGGGTGTCCAGTCAGAGAGAGTATATCGAAAATTTTTCTCCGGAACCAGTAGGGCTCGCTTAAAATAGATCCCACTGTATGTATTTATTTTATTTTCTAAGGCTTTTTTGTCTTAAATTACGTGAGCCTGCGCGCGTCCACAGGTGGCCATATCGAGTGCGACAGCATGCTGCCGCCTTCGGCGACGGCGCATGCGCTGTACGGGACGGGCCCTGGGCCTGTGATTACACCGGCGCAGCGGGGAACGCCGCGCGGCCGTTACGACGAAGACCCGCCCAGCGGCGCCACCGTCGTCACTGCCAGCCTCGTCTGACGAGCCGCCGGAACTTCAGCAGCACGTCCAGAATTTGGAAATAGTCAGGATTTGGAGGAGGAAGAAGAATAACATGCTCTTCGCGAAAGTGGAACTCAGGCACAAGGGCCTGTCCGATCGTCGTGGGGTTGCTGACGCAGTTGCTGACAACGCGGGGAGCTGCTGATGCTTCTTCACGTTCAGAACTTCACAGAAGACTTAAGAGGAGGAAAACGACGCGAAGAAATGATACAGCATGCACCGAAACCTGCGTATACAACCTGCACGCCATGCTCTGCGTGAAAATATCATTATTCACACGTGCGTCCAACTCGAAAGAGAAACTCAATCGCAAAGAATTATCAGTCACAGTTCAATCCGCCGGAAAGACAGATATTGCTGATGCCAAACGTTTAGAGCTCAGGCCACTATTTCCATGAAACCCAAAACTTGGCACGGCCAGACAGATGCAGCTGGCGTCAAACGTTTAGAGACCAGAGACCACCAGCTCCGTGAAACCCAAAGGTAGGTACGGCCAGACGGCGTTCCGATGAGGCATAGTTGGGACGGTTTTTGTGGCAACCCGAGTGCTGATGTAGAAGTCCCGAAAACTTATGCCAAGCGGCGTAAGAGGTATAGCCTTGTTCAACATACGGATCAGTGATAATTACCTTTCTTTTAGTTGTGGGGGCACCATTGCACGGAGGCTTTATCTGTGAGAAACGTGTATGTGCACTCTAGTGTTAGTTTAAAAGAGAATACAGAACATACATCATTAGGAATCAAAAACTTTATTCTTCTCGTCCTTGCTCTTCTCTTCCTCTCATTCATCTAATTTATCTCTTCTTCCCTTCTGCTCCACCTCCTACTATTTACGTTAAGGTTATCCTTACCACTAACGTTATCCTTACCGCGCTGAAACACCGAAGCATGTAACGAATACACATAAAACGAGTTGGCTAATTGACAAACGACAGCCAGTCGGTGTTCGGGCAAATATGTTTAGAAGAAAAAATATTAGTTGATAGCCAAGCGTGGTGATCCCCTCTCGTCCGGTCTCCAAACGTCTGGCGCACGCAGCATGGCAATCGTAGATACAATAAATTGCATCAAACAGAAGGATCTGTCAAATACGACATTTTTTCATGTTCAAATAATGTGAAGTAAAAATGAATCCCAATAAAGTATTATGATAATTGTTTAGACTCCCAAACGAATATTTTTTCTCCAATAAACCCAAATTCATGTTTATTTTACACTTGTAAAATTTAGACTGGTACTCCACCTTATGACAGGATGACTACATATATACACTTTCTTCTTTTAATGAAAGCAAAATTTGCTTAAAATTAATAGGTTACTATTTATTATTTTAAATCATAAAGCTTTATTAGATTATTGCAGACTTTTAGTGACACAATAATCAATTCATGAATTTTCTTTTCCTTTATTGGATGAGCAAATTCAGAGGTCACATTCTTAAAATCCAGATTGTAAAAATTGTATTGTATGTTTTTCAATTTTACTGCCCCCCCCCCCCCCCCCCCCCCTTCCTCTTGTAATAATAAGATTACTGTTTCTAAACTTGTTAGTGAAAAATAATGAACAAAGTATAAAATATATATTATTTACTTTATTCAAAAATGTATTAAATATTATGTTCACTTAAAATAATTTGTGATTTGAATTGGATGCCATGCTTGAGAAGGAACTGAGATCAGGGTGCAAAGTTAATGATGGCATGGGGGTGAGGGAGGCCAGGATATCCAATAGCATCAATTGGTAGGTATAAATGGAGAAGACCATCACACGAATCTCTAATAAAAGGAAATCACTAGCTGATAAATTGTGATGAACCCACCCAGCAAATTGGCACACACAGACAATTATGATGTATTAAAATATGACTGAAAGTTTTCACAATATGTAGGTCAGGCCTATATTTACATCTTTGGATAAAATATACAATTCATATAAGTGTTATTTGTAAGAAATGTAGACCTACACAAAAGAAACAAAAAAAAGCAATCAAAAAGTTAAAATGGTAATTTTGTTATAATGAAAATGGAATTTATAAAAGACAGTCAAACAATTGCAAAGAAATGCAATGAATACTTCATTTATAAACACAGTAATACAATGAATAACATCAATTTTAATGTTTCAATTGTAAACTTGTGTGAACAAAGGGGATTTTAAAATTATTTGTGATTTAAGTTTCATCTACATGTTCCAAAATTATTGTTGTGGTTTAAAATTTGAATTTAATCTTAAATCTGAACCAAACCTTTATGTAAGTATCCTTGGTCCAGCCTGAGTTTTCGACAGCAAGATTGATTTCTTAATAGTATCACCTTAATTATAAGTGACAGGCAGCATCATTTGAAGTTTTGACCTAGATGTAGAATTTGTTCATATAAACATTAAATTGAAAAACCTGTGTGAATATTGCAATTGATAGGTTTCTGATTACATCATTAAATTAAGAAATTTGTGGGGACCAATTAAAATTGCAACAGCTCAGTCTTATCACAAGAAGAAAGGAAATGATCTTAAGAAAATAATTCAGCTTTTTATTGCATGTATTGTTGTAACAAAACACAAAGTATGTAACAGTGAAAGGATTTTTTCAGCTCAATCCTTTGTAACAGTTCCATTATCCCCTATGTATAACTAACAAACTGAAAAATTGAATTGAAAAGCTACCTAAAATATTTCTAATAATAAGTGACTTGACATGCTGATCATTTTGCATTTATTATATAATTTCTCAAGGGCACAATAATTAATGTAAAGACAATTTGCATTTTCCTCTAAAATATTATACAAAACAAATATAACCTAAAGGAACTGCATATGCAACTTGTGTTTATGACTGATTAATGACATTTGTTCAGTTGTTCTTCTTAAGCCTACTACATTGACTGATGAAGCACGGGGTTGTGTGAATTCACTGCATCGTGTAATTAAAAAATAATCATTAAAAAAGAATATTGTTACTTTGTCTGTGATCAAATGTCACATTAGTGCCAAGAACAGGTCAGGGCATAACTATTTTCTTTCATTTGATGTTCATAGAATTGAGATATATCAATGTATAGCAGAAGGTAAAATGCAAATTATCGTTTCTCATTTCCAACACCAGTATTGACTGTAAGTACACTTGTACAAATTTTTTATATATTTATTTAAAATAGAAACTCCTTTTTAATACAAAATGAAGTCTAAAGTAAAGATGACTATGTATTAATGCTAATGAATTGGTTGACTCCATAAGAGTTAACCATTGTACCTGTGTATTGAACTAAGAAATCTTTGTAGCCTTTATATAGAACTGTTAACAATTCTGTATATAGAAATAACACATTTCAATATTTCCATTTAATTATTAACATTATCAATTGTCAATCCAAAGATCTTAGTAGAGTTTGCCATAGTAACTAACCATTGTGTAAGAATCTGGATTGAATGATAATTAATTTACTTCAAAAATATTTTAAATATATAGCAAATATCAAAAAAGAATTATGCAAAATACTTTTATTGTAAATTCTAATTTTAACTCACAAGTGCTCTTTAAAATCTTAGAAAACTGAAAATGATTTAATGAAAATTTTGGAACGGATCTTGAAATTTCCGGCATGTTATGTATTTAAAATTAACAGTTACATAGCCAAATATTGAAAACATATTTTGAATTTGTCTTCTGAAAATACTGAAATCGGGTTCGTTTAAAATCAATCATCGCTACTTTCTAATATACAACAGAAAAATTGGAAACCTACATTTTCTGGAAGTATGAATGATAAAATAATCAAGAGAATCAAAATTGTATGCAGTTTAAATTTATTTAATTTAAAATTGCTTAAATACTTTATCGTTATTCAATTTGATGCCTAGTAGTATCATGATTCAAAGAACATGACTACGTACTGTGGGAGAAAAATTGTTACGGTTTTCTTCTATCTTCAAAACATTGAAGTATGACACATTGTATGTCATTGCCTATCAACCTGAAAGTAATATTTCACGTTGAGAGATATTTAACTTTATTCTTTTGGACCATTTTCATTGTAATAATTTCTAAATCATCACGTTGTCTTCTGAATGAATTGAAATAACTAATCAATTTTTTTCAAGTATTTATTATGCTTTTAATGTTTGGTCAATTGCGTATTTTAGTTTATCTTAATTTTTCAAATACAGTGCATTTACGAAATGTGTTCTTTCTTCTTATGTAAATGTTTATTTACGTGTTCAAATTGTATATTCTCTTAATAAACATTTGTATATTTTACAATAACAAATATTAATATATATATCTTTGATGGAGAATAAAACTACTATAAAATTTGCTTTGTTACAAAGTGCATGTACAGTACTCCATAGAGTAATGTAAAAGATGCAAAATTTCATTCCTTTTTATTTTATGTGAATTTTAATTTGTAATGTTGATATATATGTAAAGTGCCAAGGTCATATTTTGTGAAATCGCAATGTATCATGTACGGCAATATTTTTCCAATTAAAATTCACTATTTGTGTCTGACAGACCCCATTTTTTATTTCTTGCTATCTTTCTTTGCAAGAAATGTTTATTTTTGGACTCTTCAGATAACTGTTTTTACTTTGATAATGCTAATTAATGAAAAGAGATACTATATTAATTAAAATCATAAATAAAAAATATAAATTTCATTTCTACTCTTTCTTCAATAAATTGAAAGGGATATAAATAAATAAATAAATAAATAAATAAATGTTGCGAGGCTCAGGCCATTTAGCCTGCTTTTCCGCCTGACCATAGGACAGGATATGGATTTCCTGTAGACTTACCCAATTGAAAAATGATTAGATTTGACAGTAATCTATTACTGCCTCTTATTTGTCTCAGAAGATCTCACTTATTCAATGAATACATTTGTTTTTATTGCATTCAAATTGGGCAATTCTTTTAATATAGTAAGACTAAAAAATATTTGAAGAAATATATGAAAAATCTCGAGAGCATTATAGAGACTGAATTTCTGTCATAACCCCTTCCCCCCCCCCTTTTTTTAATGTAAGAGTACTTCGAAATATCACTCGGATCTTGGCGTTTGTGTTAATTTGAAAACTGCAAAGGGGAGTGGTTATTAAATTGATTTCAAAAATAACTACTTGTATTTCTTGCATTTCTTCGTTTCAAGGACATTTTCCTCTCAAGTAACTTTGTATCACGGGTTATGAAATTGTTGATGAAAAACAGTTTGTGATTGTGAAACCTTCCTAAGTCTCTTTGCCGAATAAATTTACACTTCAGGGCAGCTTTCGGCAAACTTTTGAGCTTTCCATTCTGGTTCCAATCCTTCTGGTTCTCTTTTATGCCTTCTACAATATTATTTGTCTTTAATTTCTTTCCAATATCCTAGTTTCTTTGTCAGTTTAATCTTGTGATTCCAGTTATGTGACATAGAATATCATGCGAGTGCTTCCAGCCTTTGTGCTTTAAAATTCATCGTAGCATAATCAGGGGCACCCAGAGAAAAACAAGGGGGCCGGGACAGTTGATCCTTGGGGGCCCCTCATTTCAAACAAAACATTCCCTCTACTCTCAATTCCTAAACAGAATTAATTTCTCCATTCATCAGAAATAACTTAGAGCATTAAATTTGGATTAGAGAGGAACACATTTTTTATTTCTTTTGAATTTAAAAAAAAAAAATTGGAGCATCAATTAAATCGCGGCCTGGAGCAAGTTGGCTCACCCCCCTCTGGTCGCCTCTGAGAATATTCACATACAGTAGCATTGGTATATTAGAGGTTATGTGGTGAATTTTCAATTTAGACTCTTTATGTCATGTCCTGGTCACATCTCTTCCAAAATGCTTCTTTATTATTTTATTGTTTCAATTCTTAGGACGTGCGCTGCAAGGGAAGAGCGCCAGGGCAGCAACCCTCTGAAAATTTCTAAAGAACCCCTTTAGACTCTCATAATAAATCATCATATTTCCATAATTTGTTAAATTTCTTATAAAAATTACTGTCATGATCATCATGAACATTTAAGTTGGCCTGTTCCTTTGGTTTATCAAAATCCCCTCTGTTGCTTCCAAGACGTTCAAGATCTTCCAAGCGCATTCTTGGTCTGCCAGGGTCACTTCTTCCTTTTCATTTGTATTTGAGGACTTTACTTGAGAGACATTCTGACTTTATTCTTTTGGTAGTTTTCAATTTTTGAGACAATATTTTTAACTGTAAATGTTTTCTGGATCTTTTCATTCCTTATATTCTCTTTCCTTGATGGTTTTAAAATTGATCTCGGATTACTACTAGAAAGTATACATACATTTTAAACATTACAGTGAAGACTAATGGATGGGAAGTAGTCTATCAGTATACCCTATCTACGTTTGAGTATGCATTATTACCAAATACTGTAGAGACAATACATGACACTGCGTTATAATGGGAGACATTTGAAGCTAGCACCCCTTGTGGCTTGACCTGTCTTAAACATTGTGATTACAAGTACGAAGTGTATCAGTTTGAAAGATTTTTATTTAATTTACGTTTCACAAAGTGATTCAAAAAGGTTTTGTATACATACTGAATTTTGAATTTATTGCCAATTTTACAGGTCATGTCACCAGGTTTGCTAGTGAGCAGTGTCTCCAATTAATAATATGAGAAAGTTTCAGTGTCCTGTATTGTCTCTATAGTATTTGTTATTACCTAGGGATATAAAATTTGAAAACTAACAGTGTTTTAGAGTTATAAACATCACCACTGTTGCTGAAGTCTTTAACTCATTGACACACTACTTTTAAATAATGAATATTAATTGAATTTTTATTTATTCATTTTTGTAACAAAATACTGCATAAACATACAATATAGCAAAATAATTGCACATTTTGAAAGCAAAATTGTGCATTCTACCTTCATTAGCCCCTTTGTGGGCTCTTAACAAAAAAATCGGTCAAAAACAGTTTAAAATATTGAAAAACATACAACAACAACAAAAAAACTTTAAAAAATGCAGCCAATTCAGAAATAATTCCTTCTACAACCGCCAAAAAATACATCTTAAAATACAAAAATACACTGAACTATTTTATAGAAATAAAATATTATAAGTAGGTAAATAAAAAATTGGAGTGGATAAGGAAGCCCAGAAGTCATTGGCTCTCCCTTTTGTTTTTCGCAGCACATACCCATGTTCTCTTGTTGTATATAACAGTCTAGGACTTGTGTGCCTCATCTATTAATGTTGCCTTAATAATTCAACCTTGACATTTGCTCCAGGATTTTCCTATCTATTACAACTTTTCCCCATAGTTAAAAACTGTGTGGCATGCTATAGAGAGAAGTGCATTCTGTGCATGTTTTTTTTGAATTTGGGATATGTCCTAACTTGAATAATGAACACCAACATTTTCAACACGAATTGTTAAGAAATTATTAACTTGTGAAATAAGAACTATTTGCCAAGGCAAATAAGCTTTCCATTTTGGCTATTTTCCCTTATCATGCCCTTCATAACACAATCAACTTTCTTCTAAGTGAATATGGAGAATGTTTATTTGAATATTCCCAACAGGATCTCTATGTTAAAATGTTACTACTCTAAATGTATGTAAATTCAGTGGTTAAGCGGAAGAGCAGGTCCTATGGCCTGAGACTCGCCATTAATAAAGATATTATTATTATGATGATGATGTTCAGGGAGTGAAGCTTTATGTCCAAAAGCAAAACAAGCCATCACAGCATTTGCCCTAAGGATCAGGGAAACTGGACGCAAAACCTGATCAAGATGGGTGTCATAGACCCAGAAAATAAGGTACAGTATTTGTTACAGGCATATTTAGTCATTATTATTACTTTAAAGCTCCTTTCCTCTATATTTTACTAGTCCTCTGAGATTGTATCAACTTCTGGGGCTTTGTTTTTAGCCTTTGTAAGGACTATTTATTGTGTTTCTATTGTTATATTGTGTACAATTTTATGTTCCTGGATTGCCTGATTCTTCACATCCCTGATTGGCAAGTTGTAAATTATAATACTGTCACTGATGTAAATGTCTATTATAATACCTGTAATAATTTTTTAAAAAAGAACAATTATTTCAAGACAATATTTTCTATTATGTTAAGGGTTGAGAATTCTCTCTGTATAAGCATTGTAACATTTAGATGGAACTAAAATATTACAATCTATAAAGTTTACTGACCTTTTTAGGATTGCTAAATATAAAAAGGTATTATCCCTTGCATCTAAACACTGTATCACACTCATATCTTCCAAGGTACACTCGTAGCACAATGCTACCCAAGTGCTCCATTTTGTAAGTTTTGGTCAACTACAATACAATGATCTAATGCAGGAAAAAGTATGAGGCACTCCTGAAATTTTTTTCTCACAAATTGGATATTACAGCAAATGAATTTCCTCAGCTGTGTCTACAATTATGTGAAAGTTTAACTGCATTATATTTACAATAGTTTGTTACTGAATTAAATAATAATAATATTTATTGAGTCACATATACAATTACAATTGTGTATGAAATGACAAATATGATATAGATTGAGGGAATACACTCGCATACATATTCTCGAGAGCAACAAGTGAAGTTACATTTATTGTCCAGAAGCAAAACAAGGGTACCATCTCGGCATTTGCTCAAAGGACCAGGGAAACTGAACAAAAAACCTGATCAAGATGGGGTCATTGGCTTCGAGATTATACTACAATACTTGTTGCATATGTATTAAGATAATACATAGTAGATAATTATTTTTAATAGCAAAATAATTGAACATTTAGCTTAAAGTATTTTAAATTAAAGTAACATTTCAAGATTTGTACTGTTTTATTTTTCAAAATAACATTCACTTGATATAGTGATTTTACTGTAACTACGTCTACTTACTACAACTAATTATTATTATTATAATGACACTACTAATAGTAATACGAACAGTACATAACAATTATGGTAACAGCTACATATGATTTAACAGTATTAGCATATTTCTTGATTAAATCTTGAAATGGTGAGGAGGAGGAGGCAGGTTGTGGCAAGTTGTTGGTTTTTTTCTTTCTTTCTTTTTCTTCTATTTCTACATCTAGACCTACTGCAGCACCTGAAATCACATTGCACGTATTAGTCATTGAGGTATTCCTGAACGCTATATAAAAGTTTTCCCCCAAGGAAGTGTTTGTTTTTTCTTGAAGTTGTACATATTTCCCATATTCCTTCAGAAATTTGCTGTTTCTTCTTTTTTAAAACATTTTATTGTGCCTATTATTTCATTTTCATGAACTTAATTTCTTGCCTAATATTGCCATTATTTCTTGTTATTACTTGTCTTCATATGTTTAACATTTTATATATTCTTATCTTGGGAGTACCTAATAATGTGGTAATAAGAAGAGATGGGAATCCATGTCAGTGTTGGAGTATGATTTATTCACTTGCTAAATGGATAAATCTAATTTATGCATTGGGTACCTATAAAAATTAGATTCAAAACTCCCCCAGTTTTCAAGTTTGGCAATGCCTCCTCCTGGACAGACGTCTTTGAGAACTATGCTACTAGTCAGTCCCCTAGCAAACCCTGTTCTGACTTCCTCCATGGACTTTTTTTTATCCAAATCATTTAACCTTTTTCTTTGCTCTTATCCTATTTAAAGCAGTCTGGCATTATATTAGATATATTATGAAAAGGAAGGCCTAACTCTTGACGTCACTACTGACGCAACCCAATGTAAGAAAGGGTGGAGCAGCAAACTCTAAGCTTTACTTCAAGCCTACACATCAAGTAAGCACATTGCATGATTGAGACTGAACAATGATGAGATGATCCTTCACTTCCATACTATCTTCTCACCATTGCCAGCTTGATATTCCAGCGGGCTGGGACCTGCTAGATACACTGCAACTCGAAGCTTGTGCCAAGTTTTGTTGGTTGCGCAGGCGATCAGAAGCCAGGGTACTGTGCCTGTTTTCAACATGAACAATTCAATATTACAAATCTTCTATCCTTCATATATAATAATAATAATTATTATTATTATAGTTATAATAATAATAATTATTATAACAATAATTATTATTATAACAATAATAATAATTACAATAATAATAATACTTTTTTTTTAATTTAAAAAAAATCAAGAGTTGTTAAAACTTACTTGAAAAAACTGACACACTCCACATTTAGCCAGAACTTCGACCAATACACGAGTGATGGCCCCACACACAGCTAAATATAGTGTGTTCATAGCCGATTCCCAATGACCTGAAGGCAGCCTTCATATTGGAAGTATGATCTGTTACTATGGCTACCACCTGAAATATGATTAAAACAGTTTTATCCCTCTTGGCACTTCTGCATTGCCCTCAAGGCCAAAGTATTAAAACAATTGGCCAGTGAAACGGTCTTTCAAAATTAAAGTTTTTTTTATGAGACTTAATGTAAAACATCCCCCAAAATGAAAATAGCTTCAAAATTCATAGGACCTCTGATACAGCGAGATCTAAACAAAATATCAATTTTAGAGAAGTTTCTCTGAATTATTTGGATGTTTGTGTTGTGTCAAAATTCAAGTCATCGCAATGGGACCTGGTTTTGCAAGACCAATGATTCAACATGTTAACTTATTGTATATGTAAAATGTTTAGAAAAGTTTCTGAAATAAACTATTCAATTGAAGGAAGTGTATGAATCTGCTTCAATAGGTGTGGCAAAAGTTCAAATCATTGACGAATTCCGGTTATATACCTTTTTTTTCCTACCTACTGAAATTCCTCTCATTTTTCAAGTTTTGAGGTTCGCTGGCCATCCTGAATGAACGTGCCTTTCCCACAATCTGCCATGCATCCATCTCTCCTTGGAGGTGTGCCACGATGTTCCACGCAGAGTGGCCTCCCGGCTGCGTCGCTGCGTCCAGGCACCCGGACATGAACTTGCCAGCGTGTACAAAAGGAATTGTCACTGCCACGAAACTTTGCTGGCGGTTTGACATCCAGGTGTCTGTGGTCAAAGCTACCCAGCGGGCACCTGGCACAGCTTCCCACAGTTTATTCTTCAGCTCCGCCTGGAGCCACGGGATCAGAACCTGTAGATAAGCAAGACATAATAAGCTAGAACATTCGTACTATTACATAAATCTTAACACTATATAAAGAGGCTCTGGCAATGTAGTGTGAATGTTTCATATCTCTTTAATCACATCAATTGTGTAATGAACTATTTTTTTTAAGAAATTCGCGCTTGCAAAAATGTATTTTATAAGCCCCTCAGACAGTGGCTGATCACATCCTGCACACGTGCTTATTACTGACATGAACGTCTTAGATATCAAGGAAATGCTATAATAAATCTATATTTATTAAAGTCTTAATCATCACGTTCTAAATATATAATTTAAAAATGTACCTAAGTTTGACACTGTTCGCCGACCTGGCGGCTGGCATTCAGGTAGCTTACCATCTCCTTGAAGCACGATTCTGAATGGCTGAAAGATCCTGGCGATGAAGCGTGCCACAAATCTGTCCATCGTTTGAGACTCCTGGCTGCTCCGCGCCATATAATGGGACAACCTCTGCTTGCCCTGTTGTTGGGGTTGCCCCTTATCCACTTGGGTGACGCCGCCGTATGTGGTCTCGGAGGTTGGAGGTATCACTAGATGCACCAGATGTAATTAGAATATGGATGGTTACGTAACCTTTGTCGGAACTCCCACTACCCTCTCGAATACCTTGCATAGAGGCGACGTTCTCCCAGCGATGACGCGTCTCTTTTGTCTCATAATGGACTCCGTGAAAAAACGCAACTAATCAATTTTTCAGCATCCATTGTATTCGACATTTCTACATCTGAAACTGATCTGAACTACGTCGACTCTGTGGCATCAGCGATACTTGGCGATACTGGCAACGAAAACATACCAAAGGGGGTTTCCGAGTTTTCTCCGCTCTAAACGCTGGTCGGAGCGCTGATCTCGTGATCAGTGCGCGCTGCCAACATCACCACTTCCACTCGTTTCCATGAGGACGTTCTCGTTTCTTCGCTCTCATCGTTTATCGCTGCTCCAACACAAACGTACCTTAAGCGCGCGGACGAAGACGAGAACTCTGCACCAAAGCCATGCACGAGTATCACCTCAGGGTACGACAGAGGCTGCGAGCGACTGAGAAATTTTATCGCCCGTAGCTTTGCAGTGCTGTTCCTTGTGGCCGCGGTGTGCAATGCCGCCACACTTCCCTGCTATGAAGCCAATCCTATCCTTTCGGACATCCATGACTGAACTGTAAAAGTAGAAAAAAGAACAAGGTCCGGAAAGACAATAGCCGGTCGGCGTGCTTTTGGCGTTGTTTACCGCAATTTTCATGCAAGTATCGGCGTTTCGCCTATTGTACGTAGCCGTGGGATCTGGCTCGTACAAAGTTAAGTTTAATAATGTCTAGAAATTTTACCGGGCACTGAAGTCCTTTTTTATGAACTCGATCCATCTCGTATTCTACCAACCTTCGAAGTAATAATTACGCGGGAGTCCTTAACAATGTGTACTAAGATGTTTTTAAGGATATGTGCCAATTAATATTATTTTCCCATTACTACTATTATTACATTAAATAAATAATGTTGAAAATAGGAAGAGTAATAAAGGATGGAGGTAACGTCATGACAAATAATAATGTGAACGAGTATTGTATAGTATTTTCATATTTATAAATAAAAATTTGAAATTAACATGTGCTGGCCTTCAAAGATTTTTACACTATCAAATTCATATTACATGCAGTACTTTATAACGCACATATTACAAGCTTTTTTCTTTCGTGCGATATAAGAAATCGTCGTTATTTACATTGTAACAGCGAAGAAGTACGTTAGAATCTAAAATAAGTTATTTATGTCTAAAATAACTTAGTTATAAGATATTGAAATATCTAAAATTATCGAAAAATTGTTCTCAATGCAGACGGTAACGTTCTTAAACACTTGTCTTTTCCTGCGAAATGAAAGGCGAAGTTCATGTTAAAACCTTTCGCCTGTAAATCTGACATTGTTTTTATTTATGTCACCTTTCTCGTGTCCCGAAGACAATAAATACTTAGTTTAATATTTGACTCCGATTACATTACATAACCCTTTAAAACCATGGCGTAAGTACGTATACCATGTATTCTTACACCGTGATTTTTAAATTGATTCACGCACTTTCTCGTTCCCGCCGCGTTTTTTTTTTTTTTTTTTTTTTTTTTTTCGGATTTTTTTACACGTGGTTTAACCAACAGTTGGAGCGGCTCCAGGGCACAGGGGCCACTATGAGGCGGAGAGAGACAGCTTGTCCATACTGCTTTCTGACCACTTTTCTGTCGGGGTAGGGGTACCGGTAACTATAATACAGGGTGACTTTCCTGATAGTATTTTGTGTGTAAGCTTGTGGCATCAGCCCCTCAAGAGGACTTAAAGAGAAAGGCGATGTCAAGCTGTTGACCCCATTCTATGCACACAACACCGCTGATCACCCTGCAAACGTCAAATATTCAATATACAATACTACCGCCAGCGAATAACTAAACACTCTCTTCGTAGATTAACTTCCATGGGGCGGTGTGTGTCACTGGTCATTTGTATTCTAATCTAGCAGAGGAAGCCGGGCGGAAATCGATCATCAAAGTCCAGTTTTGAAATATGGAGCAATGTGACCTTTTGTAGACTTATAATAGTGAACAAAAAGATTTGATTAATGTATTGCAAATATGTAATCTCTTCCGAAAATGTATTTTATTCAGAATTGTTATGATTATGAAAGATAAGTCATATTCATTCGTTGATTTTCGAAAAAAGCAAATATCAGTATATTAAGTTTGAGGTAAATTTCATGAAGTTGTTACAATAGGCGTAACTTCAGATTCAGGGTAACAACCTTAAGCGGTAAAAACCCGTGGACTTTACGACGTAAAGTTTACGTATGGTCGCATGGAATCGCTTGTGTTTGACGTTCATTGAAGTGAAGTGTCTTGAATCGAGATCAAGACTAGCTGAAATACTGACAGTTCTTTGAAGATGTTTCCTGCAGATTTGAGAAATCAACGACAGGATGCATTTCTAGTAGGCATAACGTATGAGTGAGTAAGAACGGTGTTTATAATTATGTAAGTGGAAGTAATGAGCAATTTTTACAACTGCAGTCCACTGTTGGCGTACCGGAGTATCTGATGTGTGTTGCTTCTTTTCTATGTTCTGAGAAGTGTTTTTGAACAAGTATATTTCCTCTTCAGTTTCTTCTTCAAAACTCATAGGCAATGACAGAAACTCCACATGACAACGACTTGTCATGGAAACTAACCAAGAAGAAAAATGGATTTGAACCAATGGTAAGAATTGTTTGGTTTTGTTTTTTTATATGTGTCTCTGTGTTCAATTCAGTCTAGGCTTTGTGAAATTGTTAGATACGTAACACTTTAAATAATTCATAGGCAACTTTAGACGACTTGCAACCCATTGCTGCAACCCTTGCTGTCAGAATCCGTCTGTCATTAAAATGATAGCATGATTAACAAATGTGACAACAATTTCTGTCAGCCCAACCTAAAAATTCTATACAATCAAATGAACTTTTCATCTATTTAGTGCATATTTGAGACGAGTCCTTTTTTTTGAGGTTTGAAAAGAGGGGAGGACAAAATAGAATTTCTCATTTAGTTACTAGACTCACCATTAAAGGTAATGATATAGTATAGTATTGTTTGTAATACTCTGCTGAAATTCAGTGATGGTCATATTCTTCAGTACTAAAGATTCCCAGTTACAATATTTATAATTACAGGTTTCCATAAAAGTCCTTTGGTGATATGGACCTCAAAACCATATTATTTTGGGATATATAGCACTGGAACAGTTTTGTTCAGATGTATATGTGATGGAACAAATCAATAACCTATGTAAAACTAGAGATCCGGAAATAGGGGGAATTTCCTTTGCCATCTATGAAACCCAGCTCTCCGTCAAATGTTTTTCCATGAACATAAAGGTAACATATAATTATGTAATGGTTGAACATCAAATCTTTTTTTCTGTACAAAATGATTTGTAATTTTACCTAGCCACATGTTTGTCTCGTATAAAACTAAAACTTGCTAATTCTTACATGTTATATCACTGTCCTGGTAAATTTTCTTTTTTGAAAGATACTTGGTTAACCAGATACTACAAATAACTTTCAGAACATGATATAAGTTTTCTACATTAAAGTATGTACTATTAATTATTAATATGTTATTGTGCAGCTAACAAATTTATAGATGAAGAAATAATATTGTGTAGTACTACGAGTACAAAAATACTGTGTACAATTAGTTATTTTAAACTAATTTCACGAAATGTTTTGGTTAGTGTTTAGTGTTTCCTAAGATATCATTAAAAATAATATGTTTTAGATTTCTAAATCAACTTTCCTACACTAATATATCTTCTTATTAGGCTTTGACACTATGAATGAGAATATACAAACTGCGAACACATATCCTCTCCCAGTCCAGTGTGTTTGACTTTGGAGCCTTGTAACAAATTGTTCTCTGTATGTTGTAGAATACCTTTTGATTTTACAATTTTAAGGGAGTGAAGGGGAGAATAGTAGTCATGAAATAAGAGATTTAACAGTTAAATAAATATGATGGAATTCAATTCTAATTTTGCAGGATATGACTTATTGGAGGAAGAGTTGTTGAGAGTAGCATGCTTTCTATCTCTTGAGATACTGTGCGTCTTGTTCGGGAGTACTTTATGAGTTAATTCATGTGACTAAATTAAATTTTATTACAATTGGGTACTAAATGTTCATCAGAAGCGACTGGATTTATGTGCATTCGCATTTCCATTTAGTGTACATGGTCACTCCGCGGAATTGATAATTGTGTCTGACTAACCTAAGGAAATTTCATTTCTTATTTATTTAGAAAATATTTACTTTATAATTTTTTTTTTTTAGAGTAATATAATTTTAATTTTCAAAATATTATAAATGGGAAAATAAATTCTTATCACATAAATGTACAACTATATACTAATGATAATGGTTTATATTCTTTATAACTTCAATGCAAATGTACAGTGTCCCTAAATGTTTACACATTTGAAAATTCTGTCATTTTCAATTTTTGACCTTCTTAGTATCCAAAAAATGAAGTAGATAGTTTGCTTTCTTTGAACGTTAGAAGAAATCTAATAATCATAAGTTTCAATTTAATTTTCTCATTCTTTGTCAACAATCCAAAAAACCCACTTATTCGTTCAAAAGTGAAAATATGATAAAATATATAGATAGATAGAGAATTTTATGCAAGTTAATTTTATGTTTGATTAATTTGTGTAATTGTAAATTGCAGCATGATGAGATTGTTCATGGACTGAAAATTCTTCACTGCCAATATAACCAGTTGTCTGACAGTGACATTGAAAAAATCAGAGTAAGTATTGTAAGTAAGTTAGTGTTCAGTCATGCCCTCAGATTAATAGAAGTATTTTAAAATGCACTATGAACTGTTTCCTGTACTCCTGTTAGGACTACTAATGATTAGTTAGAAGAAATTTGAGTACACCCGAGATTGATTATCCAAACTCTTGACATTTGTGTTCTACCTACCATGCATTACCTGTATTATCCTAAAGTTAGGACATAAACAAAGAGAAATTTTAAGAAAAGATTGAAATTTTTCGTATTAATTCTTTATAATTTTTTATTCATTTTCACAGACGATTGTTTTATAGTAATTAAACAAAAATGCACGAGTGGTCTAGATGTGAGCCACGAGGTCACCTGTTCAGAAGCTATAGAATGTGTTAAAGATTACCTGTTTTTAAGAAAATGTGTTAATTTGAACTTTCATGATTTTAAAATTCTGCTGGAAACTAAAAACAATACTAATATTGTGTTTATGAAAAGTATACTTAGGTGCATGGTCATTACAATTAAAATAAATTGTATAGGTATATTTCAAATTCTGCCAATACTTCAGTTCATGCTATTTTATGTTTACAAGTTTGTATTTAAGTTTTGTAAATTATTTTCAAATCAGTTGGTGAAGAATAATTTTTAACAAATTCTGAATGTAATAAAGAGACTCATTTGGAATTGGATCTTTTGAGAGGTATATACCATGGAGCAAATATAGATCTTTGATTACTTTTATTACTTTGTATGTATGTGTGCATTGCTAAGATGACAGTTCATTCAATAGTTATAATACAAGTACTAAGAATGTGTAGTGTAGCAATTGGCATTCTGAGTGAATTCTGAAGACAAAAAAAGAAATTGTTTATTATGCAAATGAAATTGTTGTGTAATGCAACTAGACATTATTTTTTTTCATGCTTTTCTTTGTTTTTAGTTAGCTGGATCTCTGAATATTAGACACCGCCTCAGTTATAATCAAAGAGTTTATGCTTTCATGTTCATGGTAACACAATTAATAGATTTCTGTAAAAGATTACCAGGATTCGACAAACTTTATCGTGATGACCAAGTGGCACTAATCAAGGTAAATGTACTGGCTTTCTCTTCTTGGCTATTTCCCTTTTATCTGGGTTCTTTGAGGCCCTGTTCTTTTGATCTGTGATCATCAAGTAATTTTCTTCTTTGAAGCATTTGTTACACTTTCTGTTAATGTTATCTTTTGACGTCAGCGGATTACCAGACCTGCAGCTGCCTTGATGTTTGGCAGTGTGGCAACTTAGGTCACGAAGTTGTCATCACTACAGGAGAAGGGCAACATGTTGCCCAGGGGGGGCAGAATTGCCACTTGCTGCAGAAATGCAAAACGCAAGTCGAGTGTGGGAGCAGAGCAGCCAGGGACTGAGCCACAGGAGTCAAGTGGGCTGCAGAAAAAAACAAAATGCGATCGCAGATCACGTGACTTCTAGTACTGCGTATTAAACAGGGCCACATTCAAGTGATGACAGAACTCTTGAAGTTCTGTATAATGGAAACACACCTTATCCATCCAGGCTGGTGAGGCTTTGTTTCGGTACGAAGTCCAACTAATGATTCAGGAGCTGGTCTGTAGTTCTCCGTAGGGATGCGAAATTGTCAACAAAACATCGACCCAAAACCATAGATGTTTTTAAAACTTGCATTAGTAACCATTGAAGTTCACGCATGGGGGATTTAATTTGAAAGTAGTCTTGTTTATCGATATTGTTAATTGATCAAAACAGTAAAAAATTCAAGACAATTAACAAAACATGGGTCATCTGATTCATCTGATAATTCAAAATTAATACAAGTTTCTTTAGGGATAAAAGCTCAATTTTATTTATTTTTAACCCTTGGTCACTTTTGTCTGAAGAATATTCAATTTATGCATATCTGAAAATTATTCTATAATTTTGTTATGATAAAGTTTTTTATTTTTATATTTTTAAAATGTCGACAATGTAAAACCATTGAACACGAAACAATGATGTTCGGAAACATCGACATCAATGTTGCATCCCTAATTCTCCATAGGAGTCCACATCATCTGCTATTGGATATTCTTCAGGAAGCCATAGGGCATCTTTCACAACATTTCTAATAGTTTATTACCTTAATTTGGTACATTGTGAACATGAATTACAATAGAATTACATTTATACATGGTTTATCAAAAGCTGCTGGATAAAATGTTACTTTTGTTGTTTAACTTGATTATTTTGGGGGTTATTTTCTTATTTGAACAATCAAAATATATTTAAAATGTAGCATGACTTTGTTGTTATACAATGCACTTTCCATACAGAGAATAAATGTAAAGTTGAAATACTGTTATCTATGGTAAATACTAATAACATCAAAATAAATCTTCAAATCCTTCTTTATGTGGTCTCTGTGTAGCAGCTGTATTTCTAACCAGTAATATATGCAATAGTTGTTTTATGAAATGACAAAAAAAGGGTGACAACAGCTTTATTGAAATCACCACCACCTGTAAAAGAAAATGCAATTAAAACTAAAATTGAATTGAACAATTTAAAGAAATTAATATGTGCAACTGTAAGATTCCAAAACTAGAAAAAACTTATGGGGTTTTATTTTCCTATTAAATTATGTTTCAAAGTGTGTTATGAGAAAAATTCAGTAACAAATTTATTTTACAAAAATCATACTAAACCTGTGTATTACACCCTTACCTCATGTTGAACCTTCACAGATTGTGAAACTTATATGCTAGTCGATAGTCCACTAGATAGATGTTTATTTACTGAGGGCTCTGTGGTTTACTGTATGGGGGTAGCATTTACAATTTTGCAAACCTAGTACATATATTAAAATTTAGTAGCAGTGAAATTTTAAGATGTGATTAATTTCAAGTTTATTTGTTCAGCAATAAATTGGTTAGCGTAAATGAAAGAAGAAAAGTGAGAGAATATTATAAATTACTCATTCTTGTTGTGGATTTTCTTTAATATGTATGAAGGGTAAGAAAAGATATACTCTTACTGCACTTGCTGTTCTAGAACAAAGTAGAAAATCAGTATTGGCAAGTAATAAGGATTCAGGATTCTCATGAAAACATTCACTTCCAAATCTTTTAACTATTCATTTTTTTAAATTTTGGTAATGTGAAGTTATGATGTATGATTTCAGAATTGCGTGAACAGAGTCCTATTGCTTCGTTTAGTTGAAACATATGATGCAGATTCTGAAACTATATATTTTGCTGAACGTCCCTACACCCAAGATAACTTTTATGTTCTTGACATGGGAATACCCACTGTGGACATGTTTGGTTTCTGTCGTCAGATGCATGACATGAAAGTGGATAGTGCTGGATATGCCCTATTAACAGCAATCACAATTTTCTCAGGTAGGAAGCTGATTTATCTTATTAATATTCAAAACCATATCAATCTAATTTTCATTTCTAATTTGGCTTTAAGTCAATATATCATTGTTTGACTGGAAAGAATTATTCTTACCAGTCTTATTATTATATATTAGATAGATTACCTAATATATTAATACGTTACATTAATACCTAATACATTAAGAAAAAAAAATTTCTGTAACCATTTCTAGGAAGAATTTTGCTAACAGTCAGTTTTTTGTGTAATTGTTGATTTCAGTACCACACTTGATTATGCTGTAGCATTAGGATCTAAAATTTTAAGGAGTTTCAAAAATTGCTGGTGATGCAAAGCCTAGATTTACTCAAATATAAAAATTAGTTTAGTTTTCGATAATTATCTAAAGAAAAGGATTTTATTTATTATGTCAAAGACAATGGCCCAATTAATACATGGTACAAAAGTTACAATGACGATACAAAAAGAAAATAAATAGATACAATGATGAGACACTATCATAAATCACCATAAGTCAGTTAGCAGATAATTTTTAAATAATTTTACAATATGTTGTTCTGAAACAAAAGGGATTTCATTATCGATTATAAGTTTATTATCAAGTTTGCACGTTCTCCATATTGGGACATTCTATCAATTGTTTGTGCGTGCAGTAATTGCCACTGAAAAGGTGTAATGATTTCCTCTCAGTGGCCATGTAGGTATCTTCATGGTACTTTTGAAAATAACTTGACATTATCTATTGCATTGCTACATAGTTTGGATAGTAACGTGAGGTCATGAAGTTTCTCATTTGACACGAGAGGTTATATTAACTATTTGAGTATACTTGAGTATAATCATGGGTTAAGAATGGAGACGGTTAACCAAGAGTTACCAAACTAGAAAATGTAGGTACTTGTGCTAAATTGTTTCTAATTTATTATTCTAGGACATATAAGGTGGAGACCGTACTTGAAACACGTACAGTAAAATTTTAAGTGAATACAATACAGAATTTTAAGTGATATTACATTTTTAAATTTCGCTGTAGATCTCCTCGCAAAGCTGATCATTTGGTTGGCTTTATTGACAATATGGTCAACATGTGTATTAAATTAATAAATAATAGTATTTTACTGTCTTCTATGATTTTCATTTCCTTATATAACTTCAAGTTCAAATAGAAGAAATGGACATGTCGGCAAATTTTGGCATCAATAAATGTCCAGAACAATAATAATCCTAATTTATAGATTTCAACTTGCTTATTAGTACTTTATGATAAATGGTGAACATCAAATGTCTGAATTTTAATGCATTTCATTTTGTAATCATAAGCTAATTGTAATTTAAAAAATGAAATATTCAATAATATGTGATAGCGAAGTTAATTAATGCAATATGTTTAATAGGTAATGTCTTCAACACCATTTGAAAATTATGTACTGTATTACTGAATTTATGCATTAACCAAGTAAAATAATTTTAGTTTTCCCAGGATTTTTTTATGAAAGTTAACAAAAAAACCTACACATTATGATAGATTGGCTGCAAATATTAAATTATCACTTCTTTTGAACTCACAATATTTTTAGAAAAATATTTTATTATTTCTTGTGTTTTTTCTGTTTTTCTTGATATTTGTACCGACAGCTGACATAAAATGATATTGTTTAGTTTCAGGATGCGAGACTGTTCAAGAAAGTTGGAAAGTCCAAAAAATTCATGAAATCTATAAAGAGTGTTTGGAAGCATATATAAATAGAAAACATTTCCTTGAAGGTGGCCCAACTTTTTCCAACCTTATATCAATCTATCAGAGACTAGAATCGCTTTTCAACAATCATTTAGTTACAGACAGTTATGAAATTGGAAACTTTGCATATGGAGTTACAGGGGGCTGAGATATGTGAATAACATGATATTTACTGAATATACATGTTAAAAATTGCAAATGTGCTGGTAAATACAGGTCACTCAAAAAAATGTTTGCTTCTAGATGAAGAGAAGGTTACTGCCGTAGAGGAAAGGAAATGGTATGGGGAGGAGTGTTGATGTTTGTTGACATTTGAATTTTCTCACAATATTTTGTAACGTTTGTGTGTATGTGGGGGCATGTTCATATTTTGTGTTTTGGCGGAGGTAGAGTATAAAAAACTAAAGTTTGCAAACAAATTTTTTGAATGGTCCCGAAAACTTATTGGGTAATAAGAACAGAATTTGTGAAATTCCGTTCCAAATACAAATAATATTGAGCTTTTTGGGCTGTAAACAGTGCAGTAAAATTATTTATAATGTGATATTATGAAGTACAAAGAACATTGTAATGCATTTATATTTTTCTGAAACGTACTCTGGAAATGTAAATGCCATATTAGGTTTTATATTTCAGAGCTTATTAGGTGCAATTTGTTACTTTCAAGTCGTGGATTTTCTTAGCCTTTTCACCAAGCTTGTAGTGTTTGAATATGTAAAATCAAACTTTGTTCTTAGAGAAATCCAGTTTTTACACCACGTACAGACACTACACTAACTTCTGATGCCTAGTAGATTCAGACTGTGCGGGATTGAACTTATACTGATACAAATTTATAGCAGAAAGCTCACAGAATTCAGTTGCAATAATGCAAACACGATACTCTTTGTTCAACAAAGCAGAATTTGCTTGCAAATCTTTTTGAAACCTCCCTGTAATTGTTGATGTGTGCTTGTTCCTGCAGGTTAATCTATCTTGAAGACCAAATAGTCAGTAATGTTAGTTTCTTTTCTATTCTTGAAGATATACTTTCTACTGGTTAAAACTACAGTTATATAATCTCCTGCTTTTATGAGTTGCATTTTCTTTAAAAATTAAATTAATTAATGATGAATTAATATTATTTCTATACCGTTACCAGTATTTTATATTTCTCAATGTGAGGAAGTCTCAAAGTAAATAGTCTTTAATGTGTTTTAAACTCAATTAAAGGCACTTCTAATAATCTCAGAATAGAATGCAATTACAACATGCATATACCAGCTCAATTTTGTAGATTATGTAGTCGTTTTTGGTGCTATTTGTGTTAGGGCATTAGTCGGTTAAAGCATGAAAAGTTTTTATTATTTTATTTTCATTTGCATTGCTTAAGAATTAGGTATTATGTACATTGTATCTAGTGAACATTTTATTTCACTTACTTTTTATCCAATTAACTTATATTTAATAAGTTTAGTTCTTATAATTTGTTTATAAAGAGTTGCAATTGGTTCACAGTTTCTAATCAATCTATTTTTGTGTAGAATATTCAGGAACTGTAATAAATTTATTTATTATTTTTTAAATTAGAGAATTGCAAGTGTTGAATAATTTCAAGAGTGATATTCTTTCCGTTGCTTTTTTTAAAGTCAAATATAAAATTCATGAGAAAAAGTTCAATAACTTCTCTTGTTTTTTATAAGATAATCAAAAGATAGGTTGTTAAGGAATTGGAATTTAAATTCTGCAATTGTATCATTGTAATATTCATATAAATTATTATTAATAAAATGTAACATTATTATAATAATTGTAAGATATTAAATTGAATTTTTTATATACTTTATTATATAATTGTTTTAAAACAAAGCCCAGTAAGCAATTACGGATAAGTTTTGTGTGATATCTTGAAGTTTGTTGTTGTTATGGTTGTGTTTTTTCCACTTATTGTGTGATGTAGTTACTGACCAGATTTTTCACCCCGATTACTGAGGCAGAGTTATAAATTAAATTCAGATTGTATTATTTTGTAGATTAAGCTAGGTTTTGGTGCTATTTTTAAATGATTATTCCACTTAAGATATCATTTTATTTCATCTGTCAGAAACAGCTGAAAAAATTATAAAATTATATTTGTATTAAAAATGTTCTTTCTTTCTAGAAATGAAAAGTCATAATTTTATACGGTCTGATTGAAGATTCACAAACATTTATTTTTATTAATTAATTGAATAATATGAATTATAGTGAAACCTTGTGCTTGCACAAGTCAGCTTTGTTTATGTGTCAAATCCGAGTTAAGTTTCTGCCAGGTGGCTGTCAAATTTTAGTTTTCTCGCAGAGTAACAACTGCAAAAGTATAGCTAAAGAAATTTAACAGTTGAAAAATTCAGTTTTCAAAGTCTAGGGTAGTCATGATCACAGACCAGATTTTTATGTTATTACATATTTCTCGTCTTCCTACTTACCATTATCAAAACTGTATCACATACTAACACAATATCCAAATTTTTCATTACACATTTTTACATATTTAGTACCACAATACATATTTTGCTATTTTCACAAAATAATTTTTATTTTATCAATGTTCTTTTAAGTTATACATATTTTTTAATGAAAAGATGTATAAAAGTACACATTATTTTTCCCACATTATTGCTGAGTGCGCAGCATTCAGTTGTGGTGGGATGTTCTTACACTATGGCGCAGTTATGTCAGAGGTGCGATGTGCATGTTGGAGACTATGATTATTTTCACCTTTAGGTGTGAAAAATATCACTGATGCCAGGTTTCGTGATCTCTAACCTTAATTTCTGATAAACTTCGGCAATTGCCGACGTGTAACCTTAAAAGAGTATGCTGCAAGCTGCAGTGATTATGTGCTGGTCCTAGATACTGCCAGTTTGTACAAGGGCTTCTATTGCATCTGTCAGGCTGCTAAATTACCATTCTGGATAGCAAGAGATGAAACTTTTATTACCAACGAAAAGTTGTATGGTGAAAATGTGCAACAACTTGTCAAATGGTCTCCAAATAATTTTTGAAACGTTTGTATTATTCTTAAAATTTGTTTACAAAACTTTTGATAAATTTAATTTTGTATTAGGTAAATGTGTTTTTTAAATAGTATATTTTAATATTAAATATTATATCTGATATTACATATTTATTAGATGGTCTCACTGTTTTCATTTCATATTTATGTACATATTTTGACATTTCACAAAACATATTTTTCCGGTCTCTAGTCATTATGGATCCTACTATGATGGCTGTATAAGAAACTATACCACTCATTGGGACAAAATTATTAATGTGGTAATAACCTTTCCCTTTAAAATCGTGTATCAACATTTAAAGCTGTATGCATTTGCCAGTAGCTTCAAAAACCTGTGACATATGAAAATTCTTTCTCTTTTTCTCTCTCTTTTTCCTCTCTCCTCTTTTTGAATTATATAACTTGACAATTATAAAACATTTTTGAAATTATAATTGAATATATATTAGAATTTTGTTTGCATTGACATAATTATGCAATATTTAATGTCATAGACTTTACCTTTTGGGAGTAAAACATACTTTGCATTTGGGCCATTAAAGTGCCACTTTTTCACACACTTAAATATTGTTGGCATGAGCTATTGGTAAAAATAATTTGCCTTAGGAAATAAATTGTTTCTTTTGTCAATAAAACACAAGAATGATCAACATACATTTTTGGGGGACTGCTGTTGTGAATGTGTGTTTGTTTATTGTTTTGGTTGGTCTGAATTTTTTATTATTATTATTTTTCTTTTTTTTAATGCTAAATTGCTGGCATGTAATTTATGAATATTTAATTTCTTTTACAATATTTAGACAAGACCTTTCTGTCACACAATTTCCCTACTGTTTTATGCGAGCTGCTTAGCCATATATTAAGCTTGGAAACTGACATTGTTGCTGTCCACATAATGCAGGGATAATTCAGAAAATAGTATAAAACAAATAAGACACTTACCAATTAATACTATAAGGGAAAAGATACATGCAAAGCCATGTTTATATGGACTGTGGTTGCAGGGTATATCACTTTCTTAGGATTCAAATTCCTCCTGCTGTGGCTACACTTTCTCATCCTTTCTGAAAATAACTTCTTTGTGTCTGATATATTTTGAATCAATCTCGATTCAGTAAAACTCATTGTCATTTTAAATAATTCTAACATGTAATCGCATCTGAATTATTACTGAATTTTTTAAAATTATTTCGTCTAATGTTTAATGAGTTTTGTACTCGTTTCAATTAATAAGCACCATCATGAAAAAGCTGTTGTATATAGTAGCAGTGTGTCTCAACGTCATTAAATTCCAATTTATGTAGTCAGTGTGTTAGTTTTATTTTCCATAAACATTAATGTATTAATAATCTTGGCTGCTAACGTAATTAACTTAGGAATGTTATTTGGTTATCTATACATTAATTTCAAGTTTCATGTTTTAATATTTTTCAACTTTTTCAGTAAAAATACATTCATAAAAAATATCCTTATACGCGGATAAAATCGTATTCACTTCTATTTACCACACATCTATTAGAAATAGCTGCCCATTCTTATTTAGTTTTCATATTTGCAAACATGACAATTTTTACCATTTGTAGAACTCCTAAAATGTTTTCTTGCTTGCTTTTCATGCTTGTTCCTCATCATTGACACCCTCGATTTAGAAGCAGTGCTCCTGTCCTGTTAGTGGGTAGTAAAACAGTATTCTTTCGTGAGGTGAAGTTTTTCTGTTGGTTCTTGTCGGTCTACCTCTATCCCTCTTACCATTCAGTCTATAATTTAATGCCATCTGTGGTTGATGTCGTTTGTTCATTCTTTTTACAAATGTTCTCCATTTCCATTGGTAATTTTTGATTTCTTTTGCTAAGTTTCCTGTTTTTAGTTCTTTACTAATTGTTTCATTTCTAATTTTGTCCCTGCTTGTTACTCCTAACACTGCCCTTAGAAACTTCATCTGAGCTACTATTATGCTTCTGGTTTCCTTTATACCCATTATCCACTTTTCTGAACCATACTTTTGAATTGGTTTTGATGTGAAATTATGGATTCTCATCATTGTTTCTTTTCTCATGTGTCCAAAATGTCTCTATTATTCCATCATTTCTATTTTTGTATTTTTTTTCTATTTCCTTCTGGTTCAATGCAATTGAATTTCCTAGATTCTATAGTACACAAAATGATTTTACTGAATTTCCACTATGTAATTTCATATTATTATTCAGTATACTGTTACTTATCTGTTGAAAATATATAAACAATTTTTAACTGTATGCCAATCATTCTCTTTTGAAATGAAGGTAAAATTTTTGGTTCTTACAGAGAATACGTGAGATTGCTTAAATACATATTGTTGCCATGCCAGTCAATGTTCTCCTTCCTTCTTCAATAAGATATGAATGACTGTCATTTTCAATTTTTAAAAAATGTTCAAACCACTTGCAAAATATGCGAACGTACATGATAAAAAGTGAACCAACCTAAATTTATGCAATAGATAAATGTCCAAATGATCCTCTAGACATGATCCTAACAATGGATCAGATAGATGACTTAACAGAGGGCAGCAAATGAACTCATAAAATAGGCCATAACATACGCTGAAAATCTTCGACAAATAAGACTAAAGCTATTACGACTCAAGGCAAAAAATGGAAAGGGATAAAATTGTTTTGTCAGAAGGAAAACAATTGAAAAGTAACAAATTTATATAGATCTAGAAACATCATTGGGAAATAATTCAGAAGATCAAGAAAGAAGATTTCAAAAATATAATGGCGTAAACAGTAATAAGTCAAGAGAAAACTTTGGAACGAGCTTGGTACAGCAGAAAACAAAACTAAGGAATAGCACTAACATAACATCTATAGTGATGTTAATGTATGGATCAGAAATTGGACCGCCTAAAATAAGACTGTCAGAGATTAGACAGCCACACAAATTACCC